GCCAGGCCGCAGCCGCTGTGTAAAATCTGGTGGGCACATGACGCGGACTCGCGTGGTCGTGCTAGCACGGCCACGCTACCGTCACCGAGTTAAACATCGTTGATTGCATTCGGTGCGGCCGCGTCATGTGATTGAGTAATAGGGTAGTTAAGGATTTCGTATTTTTCCGTTGTGCGCTATTTCAATCCCAAAATTTTTCTACCCATGCTACCAGGACATGTTTACCAGCAAACAACAGGTGTGATGAAGGTCAGTCACTGTTGCCACGAATTTCAGGTAGTACGAATTCGCCAGGGGGACTTCTTGTATGTGTTATCCATGTTTGTAATAAAATTGCCATGTATAGGGGAACGTGCTGCCGCTGCGATTATATTAACTCAAACTTTCGCGTTGTCCACAAGGACGGGGCGGCTCCGGGGGGCCACAGTAACGTACCTAGGGTACCAAGGCTGACTGCTACACAGCGTAAGCTGTTTGACACCTGGTTAGCATGGCAGCGTAAGGTTGATACCTTGCAGCAGTCGGCGCTACTGCTCAGCCGTGGCTTGACGCGATTCGCGTGAGATACTTTTATGCATAATTCAGACCGAGCAGCGTATTATGCAGCCGTATGCTCACACACGCATGCACGCGCGCACACACACAGACGCACGCGCGCACACACACGTTGGTGCACGCGCGCGCACACACGCACGCACGTTCGCCCACCAGTAACAAACACACACAGCGTATGCCTGGTACATGTCGCAATATGTTGTGCGTGCTGTGCGTGTTGTGCGCGTGTGCGTGCTTGGCGGTGTGTGTGTGTGTGCGTGTCGTGTCGCGCGCGCGCGGGTGCATTGTGTATGTGCGCGCGCGATGTGTGTATGCGTGGTGTGCGCGCGCTGCTGCGGTGTGGGTATGAAACTACGTCTTTAAGCTCAAGGCGTCACGCACGTATGCCGCTTTTTGTTGCATAATCAAGTTCAACAGTTCTTCCTGCTGGCAATTTACATTTGGGCCAGCGTACTAACCTTTCCGAGAAAGCATTAATCAACCCGGATGCGACCGGTAATCGCCCTCATGATCAGCAGCAACAATGTGCCGAAGCGGATCAAGCAACGAATGCTCGCTGTCTTAACTCGCCATGAACAACCTAACGCCTGTCGGTTCGCAGCTTAAATTTCATATGAAAATTTTACGACCTTGGAATTTTATAATCGCGGTCTTGAACTTGTTTCGCGCGGCGAATCGTGTACGGCGACACCTTGATCAAAACAATTTGCGGTGGTTATAAATAGCTAGCGCCTTACGATGGGTAACAGTTAAGTGACAAGTGAGCTCAAAAAGCAAGGTTGAGAGATAGTTAGGTAAGCAAAG